AAAATTACAAATTTATTTATCATGTGATATTTATATAATGGCTACAGTAAAGCTGTGGCTATATATAATTTCTTCCTTATTTTATTGGATAATTATATATTAAATATTATTGATTCTTAAAGTTTGTGTTAACACCAAAAATAATAGCAATGATAATAATGACATCAATGCTTGTGTTAATGACAATAATGACATCAACACTCGCATTAACACCAGAAACACCAATAATACTTGTGTTTAATTAAATTAACGACAACAATGATAGAATCAGTTATATTGTATAACATGTAATTTATATAAATATATCATGTATCTTAGCTTAGAAAAAGACAGTTAAGACAGTTAATTAGTTAATAATTAGTTAATAACTCAAAAAGTTTCTTATTTGATAGAAACTTTTGGATAACTTATAAAGTTATATTTGTATTGGTTTTTGATCTTGAAAAATAGATCACTTATAATAAATCATTGTTATTGACTTGAAAGACAGTCACTTGATAAAACTTATTACTTGTATCATAACTTTTGAAGTTCTAAATAATATACAAAACTTAGTGAAGTTATTGAACGTCATTCTAGCTCGTCACAACAAAAACACACGTTACCTATCTTTAGTGATAAATCTTAGTCTCTCCCATTATAAAAACTTAATCTTCTTTACTCTTATCTTAATAAAACACGTAATTAATACATCAAGAACTTAATATCAATAAAAACAGTAACAATATTTATATTTTAATATATATTTTTCTGGATTTTTAGATTTAATTTGATAAAGTTATTCTAATTGCAAAATTATTACAAAAATTTTTTATAATTAAAATATAAAATTAATTATAAAAAATTTTTGTAATAACTTTGTAACTAGAACAACTTTGTTAGATTAAATCTAAAAAATCCAGAAAAATATATATTAAAATATAAATATAAATTATAATTTTTATTTTTAATATAAAAAATGAAAATATTTATTAATGAAATTGAAAAATTTTATATTATATAAAACAAAAATTTCAATTTTACTAGATTTTATTAATGAAATTACGTATATGATTTCATAATTTGTTATTCATTATATTACTCATTTCTGTTTGTTGAACTTGTTTTTTTCTAACTTATTCTTTTTTTTGTTCCTGTAATTTTTCATTCAATAATTCTAATCATAACCCTAATTCATTATAATACTTATCCCAGTTAAAAAGAAAAAATGCATAATTGTCATTATATAAAAATAGTTTGTGATAATTAAGCATTATTCTTTTTTAACTCTAGATTATTATTAGTTTATTAAAATACTTCCATTTCTCTTTTTTACAAAAAAAAATTATTATCAATTCAAATTACCAAAAAACTGAATACATGAAACTAATTCCTGTAAAAAAAATCAGACAAAAATCCTGCTTTATATAGTTATAAAATTTCTGGATTTAACATTAAAATATCTCGTGATCCATAATTTCAATCCAGACAAAAATACACCATTCGGATTGAACCTATGAATCACGAGATATTGCGTCCCAAAGTTACTAAAGTTACTGGGTCGATTTTTTTTAATTTTTTTGCTCAAAATGAATGCATTATTTCATTAAATCCACCTAGTAATTTCTACAAAAATGGTCTGGGTAATTCATGTTTCAAAGTTGCTGATTTTCAGCACTACAAGTATTCTAGCAGTACACGAAAAGAAGCACTTGCTATTTATGCACGTGTGTTAGATAACAATGAATGAACAAGAGATATTTAGATCAAGGGGAAAGGCTCTCTTCTCTTCGAGGTAAAAGATCTTTGGGTATGTCTTTCTTCTATCGAAGTAGAAATTGATAAGTGTTGGTTTGTATATAGCAATGGAAAAAATCGAAGAATGAAAAATACTGGAAAACTAAGAAGCGGAAGAACGACGCAAAGCTACTGAAAAGATTGAGCTTGTAAGCATAACTATAATTCTCATTTTGTTTTCGTATTTCGAAATAGGAGGTGCTGATGACTTTTTCAAACAGGAAAATGAAGTTGCAGAAGCTTTGCCGCGCATTGTTTATACGAACAATCAGATACGAAAAAATCAAAAACGTTTACAGGAAGGAAAGGAACAGACGTATCATTTTAAGAAACCACGTAAAAATATCAATAGAGAGGGTGTTGATATCGAAATGATATGGACGAGATAGGACGATTTTTTTCTGCAGTAGGTTCCTTAAATTTAATTTCAAGTTGTAAAATCTAACTTCATTAACGTTCCTCCTGCACCTCTCATAGCCAAGTACATCTACAACACACATGACACTTCGGTGTCAAAACTCACAATCACATACAACGCCATACGATGATGTACCTTCGGATTCCACGAAAATGATGATGCTACGAAAAATTATTATTTAAATTATTTTGTTGGTCCTGGTGTACTTGATTGTGGCCTAAAAGAAACTTCTATTAGAGTATGTATTATAAATTTATTTAATACACCATTGATTGTTTTTTTTTGACTATTCTTCCTCTTTCCAAAACAGTGGATTATCACCTATGTTGATATATCTGAATTATGTATGGAGTACCAAACAGGAGCTATACTCAAGTCTGAAACAACGACCCTGAGTGCCAGCGAGAAATTGTATATATCTTGTTATTTCTGGCTTCTTTTAGTTTAAATATTTGAAATTAATATAATATTCATTTTTGCAGGGCACTAAATCACATTTTTTTGACGATCCTAATGGTCTGCGCGAATACTGTGATGGTCAGTTGTGGCAAGCTGTTTTTGATAATATTCGAAGTCAATATCCGTATGTCAACTCAGTTTATGAAATCTGCGAAAATGTTGTAAAGGTAATGTAAATTTTTAAAATGGTGCATAATTAGATTTGATTTGCTTTATTAATTTACTAATTGTCCATTTTCAGATTGCATGCAAACAACAGAGTCCTGCACAGCGTAAAGCAGATGTCAGGGAGTATCTCAGAATTTATGAAAGCAGAAACGAGCTAGAAAAAATCATGCATTTGATCCTTGATAACTTGTATGTTTCATGAATATCTATATTTGTGGAGTTCCGCCTCAAGTAAACGTATCGTAACGTGAATATTGCACATTATACAGGGTGAATAATTATCAAACTTCTTTCACTGGAAACAATTGTATCTTCGATACACACGTTCATAACAATGTTGCAAAGGCAACTATCGATTGGTATGTATCCATAATGTTAGGTTGCAAATTAACGCACAGGCTTATTTTTTGATTTGTATTTTATAGGGCAAACAAGATGTCCAAATCATCTGCACAAATAAAGAGACGGTTTGATCCAGTTTTGCTTGGAGTAAAGCCTGATTTTGATGTCAGGACAACCAACCCAGCCAAATTTGTCGAATTATTAATTGGTGAAATAAAGCCACCTAATGCAACGGAAAACTCGGTTATGGAAGATCTAGTAAGCCTTGGTAAGACAATGAAAGCTACACTGGATAAGTCAATTGAAGGTGGTATTGACGATCTAGTCGTCTGTGGGTTGCAGGTTATTAGTAAGTACAGAGTATGGACGAAACCATAACAACTTCTAATGTTTTGAATGGTGTTCCTAAGGATTTGGGAAGATGTTACGTTATAGATCTTCATTATGATGGAATATACCGTATGATGTTAATTGGGGAATTCCAACTTCTTGGGGAAATGGCGTCCTGGAGCACATTAATATACTGTTTTCCGGTATTAGCCACAATCCAGGTAGGCAGACATCAATATTGTATCTTATAATAAGATATATGCCTTTCAGGATCTCGCCAACAAGGCAGCCACTTTATCAATCTGTAACTAGGAAGGCCAGAAGTCAAAGGACAGTTACGACACCTCAAAAACTCCAAATAACAAGAGGAATGTTCCATACGCCGTGAAGTACCCAATGACAGAAAGAAAAAGAATTTTAGCAAAAACATACTTCTTTTGTGAAAAAATAGAATCATTACTAATGATTCTACTTAATGCTCCGAAAAAACCGAAATTAAAACCGATACAGCCAAGAGGATGCATTATTACAAGTTATTCTAGATACATTTAATGCATACGTTTGGAACTGCATTAAAAAATTATATCACCAAAAAAACCGAAAACCGAACCGTTAGGAGCGCTCACAAGATGAGCTATGAAAAATTTTTTACAAGTTTTTTTTAGACTCGAGTGCATAACGCATGTTAGACATAAATTTTTTTATTCATTTAATATGGTTTTATTAAGGTCGTAGCCATACAAATTTGATTATAAAATGAGTTCTCATAAAGAAGGTTTGAGTCTTTGATCAATTCCATGAAATCCGATTCCGGATCCCATCCAACTTGCATACAATAAAAATTTATCAAATCCATCCATCACAAGTGAGGAAATTTATCTAGACATAGTATAAATTAGTGCCAACTTTTAATTATTTACCATAAAAACGAAAGGCTCTGTCTACGAAAAGTACGTTTATTTTCATACTACAAAAGTCCCATTGGCTTTCATTTCATTCAAAATAAATGTTAAAAAAGTCGTATGAGGAAATAAATGAGCAAACAGATACACACAAAAAAGACAAACGTCTTTTTTCACACAAAGAACAAGCACAAAAATATGAATATCATTATAAAATATATGATATTCAGAGCGCGTCGTCGTCGTCCTGCACTACGCTACGCGCTTTTTTATTCTGAACATAATAATAAATGCTTACCGTTATTTTTCTTAATATTGTGATATTATTCTCCGTCTCCCTAAAACAGAACAACAGGAAGATATAGTACCCGTAATTTTTAAGGATTTGCTTCACATAGTGTGAATGAACAACTATGGCGTTCGTTCGGCGAAAAGCTCCTTTTGACGATGAAATTCCTGGTTTGGAACGTAGTAAAAAGACAAAATTAGGAAATAGTAGCCAAGTAACTTAATTCATTCTTTGATGGTTTTTGGCTTTTATTAATATCACTTGTTCTCACTGGACCTCTCTCTCTCTGTCCTTTTTTTCTCTGAAGGATAAAGAGCCGACGTCGCAAGACTCCTCGTCATCTTCGTCTTCGTCAATATCCAAAGTCAGAACTGAATGTGAGAAAATATTGCAGGAAATTGGAAAACAACTAGCTGACGAGTAAATTTTTATATTTGTTCTATTTTTTATCATGGACTTTTCTATACTTATTAAAAAACAAATTATATTTCATTTTTTTGGTTTTATTTAAAAGCGGACACATTCTCGCCAGCATATTTGAAGAACTTCCCTCGGCAGAAGAGTATCCTACTTATTACACTGTAATTAAAGAGCCAATCGCATTGGAAAATATAAGAGTAAATAAAATAAAGTTTTATCTTTCTTAATAATTATTTTTGGGTGACGAGTTCTTGATCCATAATATCTTTTATCAGGAAAACATAAAAAATAATGAGTATAAAACAATCGAGCAGTTCAAAGAAGACTGCGATACGATGTTTACCAATGCTAAAAGATTTAATGAACCAGGGTCAATGGTTTACAATGATGCTGCTTATCTACAGGTAAAGAATAAAAAAATGAATCAAATTTATCGAGAAAAATATATTTCATTAAAAATGATTAATTTAAATACATAGAAATTCGTCGCACAAAAAGTGGCCGAATTGTTTCCCGAAAAACAAAAGACAAGACGGGCATCTACATCTAAATTAAAATCCGATTTAAATGATAAAATTGGTTCTCCCACAGAGATGACGCCCAGTTCGAGAAGGGGATCATCGAGTGCTAGAAGAACATCCTCTTCGAAGTCTGATAATTTAAACAAACTAGAAGAAGAATCTACCTCAGCATCTGCTACATCAACAGAAGCAAATGCATCAACATCAAACACGCCAAAAAGTTCTCCACGAATAAAACGCGGAGGATCAATATCAAATCAAGAACCACAGGAATCTAAATCAAAGCATTCACCCAGATTAAAAAGATCAGCTTCTCTTACTGAAGAACCAAGAGTAAATTCGTCTCAAAGATCACCTGTCAAACGAACTATAACTCCTACACAATCACCTAAACCAAAAAGAGCTTCTATCATGAGAAAAAGTTCTTCAGGAGAAGAAGCTTTAATAAAACAGGAAAATGATATCGATGAACGTATGATCACTTCACCAAAGTCTACCCCAACCAGACAATCATCTAGATCGAAGCGAAACTCTACTGCTCAACAATCTGCTGTTGCTTCTGAAGAAGAATTTGAAGAAGCTTCGAGCTCTTCGTCAAAGCCGAGGCGGAATAGTCGTAATAGAAATTCGGATTATCACAATTATACTGAAGAAGGTTCTTTTGTATTTATTTTAACTCTTACATATGATATCGTTTTCATTCTACTAACTGACTTCAAAAACTGTAGATGTTAGTGAGCTTTTCAGAACAATTTCGAATAATGATTTCGAAGGCATCCAACAATTCTTTTCGACACATCCAAACTTTGATGTAAACAAATTATGGCAATCAGGAAAACAAGAGTTTACCGACGATGACTTTACGTGGGCTCCTTTACATTGCGCAGCTTATCACGGAAACAAAAATATTATAAGATTCCTGGTTAAACATGGCGCTGATGTAGAAATTCAAGACACATGGTATGCTGCAACACCTTTGGCGTGGGCGGCATTTGGAGGTTAGCTTCATTTACACATTCTATGTATATATCTCTCGAATTTGTCAAAAATCTCTGATGATAATAATAATAAGCTTGAATAATTAGGAGATTTTGAGGCTACTCGTTTTTTAGTCGAAGAATACGGCGCAGATATAAAAGCACAGAATGTTCATGGTCAAGTTCCATATGAAATTGTGCCAAGTCCAGATCCACATTGGCAAAGCGTTTTGTTAGAAGTGAGTAAATATAGATATTTGTTTCACTTATTTAGATTATGATAAATAATTAATATTTATTAGGCTTCTGAGATAGAACCTCCAGATAAAAATTCTATGATACCAGATAGAAATGATAGACAAAGTAGACCATCTACTCCAATCAGACAAATTGCTCAAAATAGGCCATCGACTCCAGAGCCAAGGCCCGCGAGGTCGTCTTCATCACAAAGAACGCCATCTTACTCGATGAAACATCCGGCTCATAAAAGTGTATCTATTACTAAGCAGAAGAATTCTCAAGCCAGTCAACTCATGAAAGATTTATGGCAATTAATTGTTGATCACCGGGATAGCAGGTAAACATAATAAATAACAAAATAACTGAGCTTAGTTATTATTTGTTTGTCAATTTCTCATTAGGTGATTATTCACTTGAAAGTGGTCGACAATATTCTGAACTTTTCATGGATCTGCCCTCCAAGACAGAATATCCACAGTATTATAAGGCAATCGAAAACCCGATTTCTTTAAACATTATTGAGGTAAAAAAAAATCTAATGTTTTTTTTTATATTAAAAGATTTTTCCTATAAATTTTATATTTTATGTAGCGCAAGATAAGAAAAGGATACACTTCAGTTCAAGATTTTGATCGGGATTTTCAACTGATCTTTGAGAATGCTATGTATTTCAATGAAGATGGCTCACGCATTTTCAAAGATGCCAAATTGCTGCAAGTTAGAACTCAAATTTAATTCATTATTGGTTTATCTAGAATATAAATATAATATATTAACAATGAATGTCTCCATGTTAAATAACAGAAACTGTATAATAACAATAAAAAAGATTTGTTCAAAGCATGTGCTGTAGAGACACCTTCTACGCCCGGAACATCGATATATTATAAAAGTTCTGCGACGCCAACTTCCAGAATTTCAACACCTGAGGTGATGACGACAGATTCTTGCATTAGTTTTTTGTTAAAATAAATTACAGTCGTACCTTCATATAATCACACCCTCAGGACCAGAAAAAGTGAGACTTTAAAGAGGTTGTGAATGCTTGGAACTGGGAAAAGTGTGATTGTAGAGAGGGTGTGACTATACGGAGTGTGACTGTATAGAGGTACGACTGTGTCTATCTTTTTTTTAATTAATATTATTAACTATATTATATTGATATTAGTTAAGAAAACCCACTCTTACATTGTCTTATCAATCAGTTACTTATGGAATAGGTATTTATTATTATAATGTTAACTGGGTTTTTTCGTTTTGTTCGCCTAGGAACTTTAATATTAACAATTCAATTATATTTGTAAGGTGATTTCGTTTATATCAGAGACCCTAATAGTTCGAATTACAATATCATTGTAATTGAACGGTTATTTATGAATGCCAAGTAATATATTCTTTCTTTTTTACTATATGATAATTTTTTTTCCAAATCATGCTCTAACAATTTTACAATTATTAAACAGGTCTCAGAAACGATTCGCTGGTTCTGTATTTTATCGCCCTGATCAGGTAATAATAACATTACAAAAAGATGCATTAAAACAAATTCATAGTTTTCCGCTTCAATTCGAATTTTCTATCATTTCTTCAGACAGAACATCCTTCATCTATGAAATTTTTCGAGAAGGAAGTTTTCAAAACATCAGTAATCGAGGAACATATGTTGATGGATATTGTCGGGAAATGTTTTGTGATGCATTCCAGGGATTATATATTGGGTAAAAATGTGCTTTACGTTTTCTAGTTATTTTATCTATTCAATCATATTCTCTAATTATCTTTCGCGTATATAATTAGCTCACCCTGAAGGATTTGATGATAACGATGTCTATGTCTGCGAGTCTTCATATGCTGTTGCATCAAAGTTTTTCACTCCAATCGGTGATTGGGCTAGTACGTTATCTGTGCACATCGTCATCCCAGTGAATTTAATTCCACTGGAAACGCCCAGGATGCTTGCAAGAAATTATGAGGCAGAATCAGCTGTCTCCGCATACACACAAAATGTTCATACCCCATTAGAATTAGATGAAGGGACAAACACTTACAAAATCAGAATGCCGCCGCCGCCACCACTGCCATCAAATAGCAGCGGTAATACTATGCTGCCGATGAGGGGAGAAATAATTCATCCAATATCTACCAGCACACCTGAACCAATGAATTTTGGAAGTCCCCACCCGTTAAATGGAAATCAGTTGCATGTCAAAGAGTCTACCAACGTAGAATTACATTCCAATTCGTCGCCTCAATCACAGGTACGATCGACTGATCAGATCACAACAAAAACAACGAATGTATATTCGTTAAATCAAACAGCAGAAGACAACAACGTGATTCCGCGGTCTCATTCATCTCCAGAGATGCTTTTACAAAACGATGAAAGCAACAATGAAAATCAAAAAACTCAATTAATAGAAGAAGCATATGGCGTTGAAGCAGCAACAGGAAGTGCGATGTCGTTGGATGCAAATCCAGAAATGAACATTGATTCTATAGAACATGTTTCCAAAAGACCCACTAATAACAATAGCACAGAATCCTATGCACAATCACCACAAAATCAAGAGCATGTACCACCTGCCGAAGATAATCATCGTCTTTTTGAAATCCCCATGTTGCTGGAATCTAATTCCGCTTCTATTCATACTACTCGGGTATACGATGAGTCTACACTGGACGCTAGACAAAGTTGGTCATCAACACATTAATTAATTAATTATCATATAAATATTATGATATTTTTAATATTTGTAATTACTGGCGAAATAACAAAAATAATAAATATATTATTTATTTGATATTCTATATACAAATAGATCCACTGTTACTACAAGGAATTGGTGTAGAAGCGAGTGATCGATCTTTTGCAATGTCACTGGACACAAAACATAATGCACACAGTATCACATTGGGACCGAATGCAACTCATGTCACAATCATCCCAATTCTTGTTTCTAGTTTATTGTTGCCTGTCCCAAAGCCAGTTGACGTATTTGTATATCATCAAGGGCGAAAAGTAATAAACACTGGTCATACTTTTTATCCCAATGCGCCTTCGATCACGCATCAGAACTTTATTATTTCCTTGGTCCCGGGTGTGAATAATATAGATATTTGGGTGTATGTCCCTTCTGTGATAGCAACAACATCGACAACTTCAACATCTGGAAGCAGTGCTGTGAATGGTACGGCGTCGTCCTCAAATGGACAGACTGATCGATATTCTATCTTTATAGCAAAACAAATTGAGTAGTTTTACATTTAATCAAAATTCTGTAAATTTTCAAGTTGAACAAAATTCCGGATAATAAAAATTTTGTAATAAAAAGAATTATAATTGTGCAATGAATGATTTAACTAAAGCGCATGTGAATATAAGATGTAAAAAGTGCCTATATGTTATTTATATTCAATACTCGAATTCTTATCGTTATAGCTATTTCTGGATCTAAACAATCTGAGTTACAGATCTGATTATATTGAAGTCAATCTGCAAAACAATTTCAAGTTTTGTTATGAGTTTTTGATTTTTAAGAATTGTCATATTTTGTTTGAATTTGCCAAAACTTTAATATTTTGCATGTTTTAAATTGTTAAAATCAAGTCATTATTATTGTATCAAATAAATAATTATTTGTTTAATTTATTAATTAATTTGTTATAAAACTTATTCAATCAAATTTCTTTATAATTATTATAAAATTATTTTAATCTTGATTTAATTAATTATATTAACTAATTCAATTAATTAATTAATTATATTAATAATTTAAAAGAATTATTATTCATTCATCGATATTTCACAATATTAAAATGAACGTTTAATTAATTTGGATCAAGAGACACCCACATAATTTTTACAAATAATGAATCTCTTCTGATTAAACAAAAAACCAAATAATTCTTAACAATTATTTATGAAGTAAATTAACAATGATGAAAAAAGAAACTATCATCTATGTATTAATGTTAGAAATAACAATCTTGTCAGATATTCCATAACATTTAAATAAACATTTAATTAAATTTGGATCAAGAGATACCCACACAATTTCTACCCATTTAGCGAGTAATGAATATGAAGATTTTTTAATATGGTTTGAAGGTGTAAGCTCATGAATTTCTTCAGATATCCATTGATTATATAGTACATAGATCTTTTAAAATTAATTTTTAAATATGTATATAACGACAAAAAAACAAAATATAATTCTATAACCAAAACAGGATGACAATGACAGTAACAGATTGAGAAAAAGAGCGAGAAAATAAATAAATAAATAAAAAAGAAGCTTATCTCAGGACCAGGAAATGGGAAGAATTCACCAACAGTTGGAAAAGAGCAAAAGAAAACACAGATACAATAAAAAAGAAAATGAGAGATTGGGCAATGATTGGAGAGATAGAGCAGCAAAACTATAACATTCTCAGTGCCTAATGGAAGAAAGATGAAATAACAGCAATAACAATAATAAGAATGAATGAAATTATGACATTTATCACCACACTGATAACCAGAATGAATAGACGATGGTGACAGCGAAAACAACAATGAAAAAGAAAAAAGAAACTGAAGAAAAAAACCAACCAAAACAAAATGGAAAAAAATTAACAAAAATAACAAAGAGAACTTATCTCAAGACTGACATTAAAAACAATTCACCAATGATTGAAGATGGAATGAAAAAAGCAACAGAAAAAATGAAAAGGAAAATGAAAAAGAGGGAAAACAAAAACAAAAAAAGAAGAGAAAATGAAAAAAACCTGCCTCAGAATCAAGATCGTAAAAGTTCCATTCACAGTTAGGAATGGGACAAGAAAAAGGATATAACAGAAGAGAATTGTAATAACAACTAAAATAGCAACGAGAAGACAAAATCACAACAGTCTCCTCAAGAAAAACATGACATGTCGAAATGTTAGACTCTGAAAAGTGTCTAAAAAAATAGCATAATAAATTCATATATATTACGTAGTTGCTAGTATTTATTATCATACTGTATGTGATATAATCAAAGTGATTGACATGATGTATGTATCCATGGTGCAAATAGCAAAAATTCATGATGCGAATAACAATTTCTTATTTTTATTATAATTGAATTATTTGGAATTTCTTAACTAAAAATATTATAATTTTTTGTAAAAAGAATGAAATAAAAGAGTTTTTATTATTTTTTAGCTCTAAAATATTTAATAACTAGTACAAATAATTAGAATATTATTTATTAATAAATTAATATATTTTGTTTAACTAGTATAATTAATTAAAATATTATATATAATAGAAATATTATTATTTTATCTCTTATATATTTGCATATATTTATTTTTTAAATTGTATAATTTCAGTAAAAAACTTGAATATATTTTTCTTATTATTCTTATATTTGTTTAATTCTCTTTTCTAATTTTTTTTGTATTTATTAACTAATTTTATAATTAATAAAAAATTTATAATAATATATATATAAAAAATTAATTTATAATATTTAATATATTTGAATTAATTATATAAGTTATATATATATATAATAAAATTAACAAAAAATTTTATTTATTAATTGAAAATTTTATTATAACTCTCAAAAAATAAAATTAATTGAAAATTTTATTATACTCTCAAAAAATAAAATTAATTAAAAATTAAAAATTATATTACAATTAGAAATTATAATTGCAATTTGAAATTTTTTTAGAAATATTACTAAATATAAATAAAATAATTATTAAAATAATTTTCTTAAAAAATAAAACAAATAATTTAATTAATTTTTTTTATAATATCAATTTAAAAAGTTAAGAATTTTAAAGTTAATTATATAACTAAAAAGCTTATTTATATATTGTTAAAAAACAAATTTTAGCTAAAAAAAATATGAATAAAAATTAATTAAAATTAATTAAAATAACTCTTATTCATTTTTTTAGCTGAAACTTGTCTTTTAATAATATATAAATAAATAATACAAGCTTTCTAGCTAGATAATCCCCTTTAAAATTTTTGTATTTTCAATTTTTTTAGATTGATATTATAAGAAAAATATTAATTTAAATTATTTTGTTTATATTTTATTTATTTTAGAATATTTTAAAAAAATTATTTTAACTATAAAAAAAAATAATCATTTTTATTCATATTCAGTAATATTCCTGGTTGTAGTAATTATAAGTGTAAAACAATATTTAGTTATCATTAGAAAATTATCTTATCAAATTGATTCAGATAATATATATTTAAAATATTTAAAAGTTTTACTGTTTATCAAAAATCTAAAACCTGAAATAAAATTCTTTGTAAATTCAATTAGACCAGCTACTTTAAATACCACTATTTATACTGTTCAATTATATGAAACAATTATCTAGACCAACTAAGCTTATTTAATATTCTGACAACCAGTTAATAATGAACTAAATCAATTTTCACAACAATTGGAAGCATTAACCACTAAATTGGAAGCATTATCGACTGGAAACAATTGAAACCAAATTCATCAAAATACTAGTTTCAATAGGAGTTCTTCAAATAATTGATACCAAAATAATAATAACGATAATAACAATAATAATAACCATTACCGTTATCTAAATAGAAATAGTCAGCAACAAAAGGGACTGCCGATTGCCGCCGCTACTATGTAACGAGTGATCCGACCCGTTTATAATGCTGAATATAGTATGTACATGTATTTTCCCTTTCTAAGAAATTGGTATAGAACACACAAATAGAGCTATTCAACAGAAAATATTACATGTATCTGAAACGATCGAATATTTTCAAACAAACAAAAAAATGAAAAAAATCAACGACGCTAATCAATTTCACTTTGTTGACCTTAATTCGCCCAAAGATATTGTTCGAGTTCCACTCAATGTTGACATTCCATTTCCTTCCGAAGACTTGGACATTGAAGCTATGTTTAAACCAAAACGAAATAAAGAAAGAAATAGATTTAAATCCCCGAATAAATGGTACATATATCGTACTTATTTCACGAACAATTGAAAAAACGTGGGCATAATTTCTCTATGACTGATATCCCGCTGATTATCAGTGAACGGTGGCGAAAGGAACCACAACACGTTAAAGAACATTACGAAAATCTCGCGAAAACGGCAAAAATAATATTCAATGATAAATATAATACAACCAACAATTTTATTGACTCGAAAACAGATTTCTCCTTTTCATCAACCAACAATTCTATTGACTCGACAACAGATTCCTTCTTTTCATCAACCAACATTTCTATTGACTTGACAACAGATTCTTCCTTTTCATCAATCAACAATTTTATTGACTCGACAGCAAATTCCTCCCTTTCATCAACAAAAAATCGAAATGTTGAAAAAGCAAACACCCCATTGAAAAAAGCTTCGCGTTATAAACCTACAAAAAATCTTTATCATCACCTTCATTCGACAAGGAATCATCGATAAACGAAATGAAAAAGAAATTAAATATTCCCACTCCTTTACAAATATTCTCTGAACCTTCAACCAAATCTTTTACAGCAATAACATTACTAATGCATTAAATATTTGCTCTGATTTAAATAACTTTTATTCTCTGCAACCCGGAGATTTCGACAACTTCAATAATAATGATATTGTTCTGTGTAATGCATTTATGTATTCATCTATTTCATCGCTGACATTACCACATATTTCGATTTAAACTTGCCACCACAACCCGAAACATTAGCAAAACAAGATTGTCCAGAGCAGAATTTGTCTGCTATGCGAGATTGTTCAGATTTATCAGAGCGGGTAGACTTTTTTTTAAATTTTTCGAGATAATGTTAAATCCTATATCGATGTTAATTAGATTCCCTTAATCATAATCTTCCAACAGTAAAATATTATATATATATCGTATATTGTACATAATCTAATTTAAAGTATATATAAAGATTCGTTTGTCTGTCAATTGTCAATGTGCAAGACACATATATTATCTATGCAAATTTGTCTTTTGTCCATGCGTCTACTTTTTTCGATGGTACTGCGTATTCTTCATCTATGTGTGAAGATGCAAGCACTTATTCAAAAGTATTTCTTATAAAATTCTAAACGTAATTCATTGTTATAATAACTATTAACGCTAATGCTCATGTGAATGTAAATGTAAATGTAACACCCATATTTTCTTGCATTATCGCAGAAAATATTCGTAGATCTTGGACCCAGTCTAAAAAATTGAAACAAAATCACGTGATTGTCGAGTATAGAGTTCCGGCATCATATAAAAATTTTTCAAAAAAATGGTCTCCTTTGTCTGCGAAGTTTGTCAAGGTGAAAAAAATACTCGTATACTTGCATACAAATATATAAATTGAATCGGCTAAATCTTTTCAACACAAAATTAGAGGCCATAAAAAAACCTAAACTCGAAGCACACTTTTTTCGTTGTCCGTACGCTTATTTTAGTTGTATTGACTGCTCTGCAACTTTTGTTGGCGACGGATATAAACAGCATATCAGTTGCATTAGTGAGGCGGAAAAATATCAAAAAGGGTTGTACAAAGGCAAGAAGGTTAGTTTATTAGTTACCAAAGTGAATTATTAATTTTTTTATCGTTTATCTAATACATTTATTTACCCTTGTTTTGGGCCTGATATTGAAAAAGAACAAGCAAAACAAGAACACTAATGTTGCAACTACTAACAGTAATATGAAAAATGAAGGTTCATCAAAGGTGAATGGCGGCGCCAAGGATAAAAATAATAATCCCAAGACTGATAAGATTGTTGAGACACAAAGAAAGTCTGATGATTATGAGGTAACAACCACCACCAAAAGTAGAAAAGATTCTTCAAACAACGATAAAGATGCCTCAAAACATCATCATCAACAAGACATACTAATTGATGATAAATCCGAAGATAAGTCTGAAAAAAAGAAAAAGTCGAAGACTAGTAATAATAATAGCAGTAGTGCAGGTCAAGATGGTAATGACACTGATTTCCCGAAAAAGAAAAAGTATAAACCTGAAACTAGTACACCGAAAAAGAATGTGTCAGATCCTGCTCAGGAATTGCTAAGCACAAAAGAAAAAGCAATAGCAAGTACAGCATTAGCTGCCACAAATAATACTGGGGTTAAGAAAACAGACAAGGAAAGTACTAGCCCCAAAAAAAGCAGAAAGAAGACATCTAAAAAAACTCCACCAACCAAAAATCAAGATATATTTCACTCGGCCGCTTCAACACCTGAGGCAGAAGAGAAAAGATCGAGAAACAATGAGACAGGTCAGAAGAAACGTAAATCTAATGACGACGACGACGATGAATCGTCTCAAGGTCAAATTCTATCAAAAAAAAGCAGTCCGCTTAATGGAAAATCTGTTAAAGTTTCTCCGAAAAAACAAAAATTGGACACAAAAGAAACAAATCAAGAACAAAAAGCGGAGAAAAAGAGTAGCGATGATAGTAAAGAAGAAACAAATGTAGCAAAGAAACGCAAAGTTGAATTGGGTCTGGAGGCTCCTTCTGCCTCGGAATCTGATCAAAACTCTCTAGAAGAATCTTCTACTACTCGGTATCTTAAAAAGATAAAACTATCTGAAAAAGTAGTCTCGGATGATGTATCTGACGCCTCTATTAACACTGATAAAAAGTCAAAAGAAAAAACCGTCAACGGGACGTCAAAGGACAAAAGGAGCCAAGATAATGATAAAGGCGAGGAATTTGACCTAAAAACAGTTATACCAGCTACAATTCGGGGATTATTCACGAGCAAAAGGGTATTTGAATTCAACTTTGTATTTGTATTATATCATATATTAGTTTTTATTATTATTTTTTATTAATTAATATTTCGTAATCCAGAATAAAGAATTAACACTCCATCGAATCGAAGAACTAACTATCCGGAATATCATGGCTGATTCAAGAAACAAATTAACCGAAAAGCAACTAAAGAAACAACTCGCCAAGAATGTCATATTGGTCATGAGTGATAATGATACGAATATTTTCCTTAAGTAGAGGTGATAAAGATCATAGAAAAGTTTACATCTTATTATAGAAGTATTATTGCCAGTTATCTATGCTTGATAATATACTCACTGTATGTTTCTAATCATATATAAGATGTTATAACAATCAGCCCTTGATAAACACTTAAGAAACAAACATAGTAAAAAAATCTATAGTGTTTAAATTGATCTGCGCGCAGATATTTTTTTCTAATAATCTGCAAAGAAAACTATACTGCAATTTTCTCGCATTTTCACGTCATTTTTGAACACAGGGTTAATTTGCGTAGCTTCTATATTACTAATGGTTATATGGGATGGTTACACGATTAATGAAAGATATGAAATGGCGTTAAACACATTTCATTCATAAGTTTCTATACGATTCGAAGTATACCACAGAACTAACATAACTACACGAAGTATACCACAGTACTAACATAACTACAAACTTTTAACCGTAAAATGACTATACGACGAGGCCATTTTGGCTCGTTCTTTTTTATTGCGGTACTTGCCTTGGTCGGCGGCCTTTTACTTTCATGTAGAGTTTACGCCAAATTGGTTGACAGTGATAATGTACAGTTGGTTGAGGTTGAGACCGTCAGCGAAGTACAAGTAACCGTTCAAACTACTCGTATCGGAGAGGTCTCTGAAGAAGTCTCGGAAGAAGTTTCGGAAGAAGTCGATAATTTCCAACAAGGACTTGATGAAATAAGACACGGTCTAGAAGATATTAAGGATGGTTTAACCGGCATATTCGGGCACGAAATTGATGTTATTAAAGATTATTTTAAGCCAAAAAAAGGCAACCAAAATAAAAGCTGGGCCAAAATTTTGACACATGGTGATTTCCCAGACTACGATATCAAGCTGAAGAAGCCAAAATTATGCGATTCTTCTGTCAAACAGGTTAAAAAAATTACATGATCTTTAATATCATGTGAAAAATTAAATAATATTTTGATTGAACTATAGTATTCGGGTTATCTTGATACCAGTTCAGATAAGCATTTCTTCTTTTGGATCTTTGAGTCTCGTAATAATCCGAAAACTGATCCAATTGTTCTTTGGGTAAGTTAGAATTTTATCTATGCGATTTTAACTTTTAGAAACCTTGTTGATCTTTATTCCATATTACTAAGCTCAACGGTGGCCCAGGCTGCAGCTCTTTAACCGGATTATTCTTTGAATTGGGGCCCTGTATGGTGAATGAGGATGGCAGTGATACAACTATTAATCCATATTCTTGGAATAACAATGCAACAGTCATTTTCTTGGATCAGGTGATTTTAAATAGCTGATGAGAATTTACTAAATATTAAAATTGATTTTAATATTTTATATTTTTAAAAAAGCCCACGAATGTTGGATATTCTCATGGTGACGGCGTATCGAATAGCCTTGCGGCAGCCAAGGACGTTTATGCTTTCCTCCAAATCTTCTTTAAAGAATTCACCAACTACGCAAACCTAGATTTCCATATCGCCGGTGAATCTTATGCTGGTCATTACATTCCAGCTATTGCCACAGAGATTAACAACAATAACGAAGGAACCTCTGCTTGGATTCAATCCGTCAAACCAAAGAATCTTAAGCATATCAATCTTGAGTCTATATTGATTGGAAATGGCCTTGTCGACCCATTAGTACAATACGAATATTATCCTGATATGGCGTGCAACTCCACCTATAAACCCGTATTAGATGAAGCGACTTGCGATAAAATGCGAAAAGCGTACCCAACATGTGCACGCTTGATCAATAACTGTTACAAGTCCCAGAATGTATTTAATTGTTTACCGGCCACGTTGTATTGTAACAAGGGATTAATCCAGCCGTATCAAGCCACTGGTCAAAATATCTATGACGTTCGAAAGAAATGTGAGGGAGGTGGCTTGTGTTATCCGATTCTGGGAGCGATTGAAACTTATTTGAATAAAAAGGAGGTTAGGGAAGAACTTGGCGCTGAAGTTAAAGGGTATAAAAGCTGTAATATGGAAATTAATTTCAGGTGAATTATTGTTGTTAAATTGTCTTATTTGTAAATGTCTCATTAGTAAATTTTTTAAATTCTTATGTATAAAATAAATTTCAGATTCCAAATGGCAGGAGATTGGTGAGTTTTTTTTATTTTCCAATTTCATTTCTTCAAATTGAAATTTTCAATTAATGCTGCTTATTTTATATAGGATGCGTCCTTTCCACCTTTTGATTCCACCACTTTTGGCGAATAATATTCGTGTTTTGATCTATGCTGGTGATGCCGACTTTATTTGTAATTGGTTCGGTATGTATAATGTATTCGGTTTTTTATTCAAAAGAACAATCTGTTAATAAATTCGTTACAAATATTTTATAAATATGTATAGGCAATGCAGCTTGGGTCAATCAACTTGAATGGCCGGGTAAAGATGGCTTCAACACAGCCACTAACAAAGATTGGATTATTGAAGACGGAAGTGAATCCGTAGCCGGAAAAGTACGATCTTATAGAGGACTAACTTTTCTACAGATCTTTGAAGCGGGACATATGACTCCATATGATCAACCAGCTCCGAGTTTAGATTTCTTCAATAGGTGGATTCAACAACGAGAATTGTGAACCATTTTCTTCAAATTACTAAATTATTGCAATGTGATTGATTGATTGATTGAATTATTACGTCAGTTATTGTAATACAAGAATAGTAATCAAGTAGCCATTTTTATAATTAGTACAACCGAAAAGCAAAGTTTCAAAATAAAAGCTATTTCCTTTTTTGATCTGGTATTCTTGAAAGTATTGTTTAAAATAAATCAAATAATAGATAGGATAAATTCGATCAAAAATGATTGAGAGTGAAAATTCCACGTCGACACATCTTGTAGTTTGTGTGCATGGGTAAGGTTATAGGAATTTGTAAAATTAGTAAAGGTCTTTTGTCGCGCATATTTATTTATGACCAATTTTTTTATTGAATTTAGGTTATGGGGAAACCCGGGACATTTGCAATATCTTGTTGACCAGCTAATAAATAAATACGGAAATTCGATTAGTATTGTAAATATGCATATATTTCTAATTTATTAATTGTTCTAATTCCAAATTATTTTTTCATTTAGTTGAATGCAAAATGTAATCTGTCAACATACACATATGATGGTATCGATATTTGTGGAGATCGTCTAGTCGAAGAGGTTTTTTTTTCATTGGGTTTTTATGCTTCATATAGATTGGAAAGAAGGGATTCTGACATTTTATCGATTTTTAGATCCACGAAAAAATAAAAAGTCTAGAAGACGATGGTATAAAAATCACGAAATTCTCCATCATAGGATATTCTCTCGGAGGCCTATTTTCGCGATACGCAATTGGTATTCTTTACAAACAAGGAATATTTAATGAAATACAACCTTGGGTAGTTGAATTTTGAGGATTCTTATTTCTGATAGCTGATTTGTATAGTATCGACATTAACATAGTAATTCTATTCGTGTTTTGATTTCAATAGATTTTTACTACTTTTGCTACACCCCATTTAGGCACAATATCAAAGATATCTAAAGCAATACCGAAAATCATTAGCTGGGCTTCGCCACGGATTTTATCAAAAACTGGTATGTGAATTTATTATTTTATTTTTTCTTAATATATATTAAAAAGCCGATTCATCAATTATTTTATTAGGCGAACAATTATCATGGATTGATAAATACGATGGAGATGCTTCGCTACTTTCAGTGATGTCCGATCCGAGTAAGTGATATCACTCTTGAAAATTATTTCGCGTAAAAGGATTATTATATTTTTTTTGAAAGTCACTAAATATAAATATTAATTCATGTGTGTTTAAAGATCGCATATTTTTCAAGGCGCTCGAGTTATTCAAGTATAAGAGAATTTATGCAAATACTTTGAACGATAGAACAGTGCCTTTTTGGACGGCGGCAATTTCGGAAGTCGATCCTTTTGAGGAATCTGATAAATTAATTCTGTAAGTTGTCCTAATTAAAAATTGTTGATTTGCTACTTAAGGTATTTTTTATTAAACTTAATTTAACAAATTACAAATGAAAATCTAATTAATCATTAAAGGTCAAAAAATAAAAAATATGACGTTATTATCGACTCGGTATTGCTAAAAGAAGATCACTGCAAAAATACGATTTTTAACATGGCAAAGTATCTTTTGGTTGCGGTAGCGGCGCCAATTCTAGCTCCTCTATGGATTAGTTTTGTTGGTGCTATCTATGTGCAAGCATTGTGTTCGCAAAGACGAGTGCAAAAAATCATTGAGAATCGAGTTGTTAATAATGTTGTTGATGATAAAAATAATAACGATGGCAAAGAAAAACCACGAGATTTCTCAAAAATTGCATCGAGTGTAGAGCGAGAGAACATCGAAGCAGTGACCAATTTTATCTCTAAAAAACCAAAGCTAACATCAGCTTCATCTTCGTCATCCAAATCGGAGTCCGAGTCATCTACAACCGAATCCTATAACCCTGAACTTTATTCCTCCTCCGATTTCCCATTGGTACCATTGATTGACATACAACGCGAATCTTGTAATAATTTAAACAAGATATCGTTTCAAAAGTACATGGTGCATATTGACGGGTATAATGCGCACGCAGAAATTGTCGTACGGAATAAGTTCTTTAAATTTTTAGCTGGAAAAAAGCTTATACAGCATTTCGTAGAAGAAAGCTTTGTTTTGTAGCGTTAATCTTTAAATGTTTTTGTAGCGTTAATTTCATCATGCTAATTTAATGTAGATCTTTATTTTCATTCTTCAAAGAATGGAATCATACCGAGAAAAGATTTCTCATATATTACAAAAAGCCACAATTCTAGTTGGTCAAACTAATAAAGACAAAATTAATGATACCACTGCTAATAGTGGTACTATACCTGAAACGCTTGCAACAAGACTCGAAATATATGAACAATGTAAAGAAAAAAGAAGAGCACGAACAACTAATGATAATTTAGAGAAGGGTGAGAATATTTCTGCGGAATTCATAAAAGAAGAGCACCAACAGTATCTGGTGAAAGATACTGATAAAGACATTAACAAAAAATTGCTGCAAACACACTATGTGAAATTGTGTCTGGAGACATTGATCGAATTGAATAATGCTTTCCGAGAGAGTAATGAAATGAAAGGTATGTACGTATTCGCCAATATTCCATAATTAAAAAATTTATGATTTGATAAATAATTCTCGTGATTTCTTTTAAGCAGCTCAACAACAAAAACAATCAACTGTGGATGTAAGTAATGAACTTTTGGGTGTGAGAGATCTAAGACTGATTCATACGATGTTAGAGATTGTGATCAGTTGGGGAATATATCCATGCTTGATGCCTGGTGCTGGAATTCCACTTTCGCAACGTAGTATATCTGGGTTTACTCAAGCTGGTAAGCAGTAGATACACGCAAAATAGCAATTCGTAAGCTCTTGTATATAAAAATTAATCAACACAATGACTGATTGAGTAATAATCATTATTTTGTTTAGAGATATTAGATGACCTTAACAAAGATGAAAACGATCATATTTCGAAAACGATTGACGATCCTCGTGCACAATATGTAAACCTATTCAATCTTATGGAATCCTTGATCTCAATCATTTTTTCTAGTAATTATAATGAACTATCATGTAACTACACCAGCATCTCGCAAATATTGTTGACTCGGCATCTTATTGATATGTATGCCGCGCTGTTACAACTAGCGTATGGGCCTATGCCAAAAATTGGTGATGTGGTGATTGTGGGGACTCGGGATTCAAAAAATATCACGAATAAAAAACAAATTTCTGAGCAAGGTTCACCCGTTAATGTGAATGAGCAAGATACATATGTTATTGAATCACCGTTATTTGCGTCGTCAAGAAAAGTTGTAAATATTGAAAAAGCGCGTCAAGAAAGTTTTATCATGTTTAGCAGATTGTTTGAGAGGTGTGATGATGATGATGCTCTCATATTCTTTGATTTATAAGACGTATTAACTTCACATTGAAAATATTAGATCCGATGATTATCGATCTTTAGAATCATTAATGATGTTATTAGGGGCTTCGCCGTTTCATCCTGCTCCAAATTGGTTGAAAGGGATTTGCGGTCGATTACTTACACACATTTTGCTGAAACCTGATGGCGTACAAAAAGTAATTGATTTTATGATTGGCGGTGAAAGCGAAGGTTATTATTAATCTTCCCTTGCTGGGAATACATCAATTTTGCTGTTTGACAACCAATCGCTCATAATTTCGAATTTCAGTCAATTTCTCTAAACAAGAGAATATATCTAGGGTATTGCTATCTGTACCAGGTCAAATGACGTCTGTCGAGGTAAATTATTTTCGTGATAATATTTTCATGCACTCTAGCATTAATTTCTGTATTAAAACGATATAAAGGATTATTTCTCCAAAATATGTCCTCAACTTCTTGCCATTCTCGCATCAACAACTTCTGACCCTAATATAAATGCAAAATGCGAGATATCCACCACAACAACTGTAGCCGCATTCACCATCATAAAAATGAACGCAAAATATCCAGCGTTAACGAAAAAACTTGTCATAAATAAATTATTCGAGAAGTTATCAAAATGGTGGGAAATAACGTCAGGACAGGAAAAATCCAATTCGACGGTTCTTTTTGATTCAAGTGTTCAAGGTTCATCGATCATTTCGGATTTGACTTTGGACGACTCGATGGTGATGGATGAAACGTCTCTTCAGTCAACTATTAGAGTTGTACATCGCATTTTGGTTGGTAGTGAGCCTGCTCCTGATCTGTTGCAGTCTTTTTTGGAGGATGCGATCGCCCCATTGTATCATTTGTATGCTTTTGCAGTTGTTTCGAAATCAAATTTGCGAGAAGCTGTCTTGGACATTTTACTGTCATATTTCAGAATTGTAACAAATTCGGATGGATTAGAAGCATTGAAGGAGATTGTATTTAGGAAAAGTAAGAGACATGCAATACAACCACCAGAAATTGGTGATGTGAATGAAGTGTATTTTGCACCAGGTCCTTTGGGAGGTTCGGTAATGAAACTACGTTTGTAAGAATAATTCATTTTAATAGTTAAGCATTTCTATAAATCGAAATCTATTGATTGATAATATTTTATTAGGACAAAACAGAATCTTTCACCTACAACAACAAATATCAATGTAGATTTATTTATTGATTTCCTGAAATCTCTTTCGAACAACGATTTAACTGGTGATTTTTTCATGTACCTATTAAACGAGTACACTGCCGCCAAAGCCGATCATTCGCAGACGACAAATTCGAGACGGTAATTTTGAAAATGGATTTTCCTTCATATATCAATACGATAATTAACTCGTTGAAAATTTTTTAGCGTCCTGACCTTACTTCATCTTGTTTTAGGCATGATTGACTCTCTCGGATCTGATATATTACATAAACCAGGCCAAGTGATTGCATTTGCTAATAATGTATTGGAGAATTATCACGATCGAGTTGGTAGTGATGATCATGGCTCTCGACAGAAACAGGAGCAACGTGAAAATAGTGTAGGGTTGAGTAGTTTAGCTAATATTGTTTATGATGAAGAAAGCTCAGATGTTGAGTTACCTGAGGATCAACTGGATGAAGACGAGACACTTACTTTAGCTTTGACATTATTGACGTCCTTATTGGCTGGTAATTTGTTTTTGTAATGAAAAGCTATTCTAACTTATTTTTTATTAATAAAGGTTTTTACACTACTTATAGAGCACAAGTCTCTCTCTACACAAGATGCACACATACTCAATCTTGTTTTCGAAAATCTATCCAGATTCAGGAATCATCAATCTCCCGACGTACGTCAAATGACGCGTGACTTGCGTTTAGCCATTTCTGTTCGTAATGCTGCACGAGCATCCTTGTCATCACCATCATCTATCAACGACGAAAAAGAGCGCAAAAGAGAAGAATCAATACAAAAGTATAAAGAAGCTATGGAAGCATTACAGGATGAAATACTGCCGGTGCGAGCAAGTGGACTGGTGATACTCAAAGAAATGATATTAGCAAAGGATCCTTTTATTAATGAAGAGGATAATCTGTCAAAGGTGTTGGATATTTTTATACAAATGATACAAGGTGAAGAAAGGTAATAATTCACGTTATATATCCTAGTATTACCTAATCAATTAACTAATTCATAATCTTTTACACAGTTTTATTTATTTGAATGCAGTTCGAGGTCTTTCCTCGCTCGCAGAAGTACATGGTCAAACAATAATGCAAAAATTAATGAAATGGTATGATAATCCAAATGAGAATACCGATAATCGATTACGCGTGGGCGAAGCGATATTACAGACAATTCAAAGATGTGGTAAGGCACTTGGGAAATACAGTAAGTCATCATTGTCCCCAAAAATATTTCACACTTAAAAGTATATACTTAATAATTTCATAAATACAATAAACATAAAAGTCACTACTCTGCTTCCACCACTTCTTCACGTCCTCGACAAGGATCAGAATGAACAATTACGCGTCTCATCACTGTCAATTATCGGGATTGCATGTCAAACATCTCCATACGCGTTGTCTATTTGGTTTGACGATTTAGTCGGATGGATATTGAACATTTTGGATTTCGAAAAGATGATGATTGAGGTTCGAAGAGGTTTGTGTTTGTACTTTTATAATTTGATATCTAGATTTAGCAATTATTCTGACTCGAATTTGCATTGTTTTGATTTGATAGCATCAGTTGTACTGCTGATATCTTTATTTCGCGGTCTTGCTGTCGATACAATACAACAAATTCGCGGGGATCTATTGAAACGAGCCTACATTTCTTTGCGATACATTGAAAATACTGATACCGATGATTTGACCCGGTATCATGCAAGAGTGTGTCGTAGTGATTTGGATGTAATTGTCAAAGGTTTTCTAACAAATGGTAATGATGAGTGATAGATACACTTGATTCGACAAGAAATTTATATGTTGGAAATAAAATAACTTGTCTATTTCTTGCCTTATATCAATTGTGTGAACGCAAACAAATTAAACATATTATGAAAAGTTCATTTTTCAGATTGCTATATTTAATTCAAATGCGAGATTCTAGCTTGTTAAGTTGAACGAATTTTACGGTGCAATGTAAGCATATTTGATATCATTGAACATTATTATTAAGAGAAAAGCCTGCCTCTTGTAACACCCAAGTGCTCATCGTTAAGTAAAATCTTAGTTTAAACATAAGAAACATTGTACGGACATGATAGGATAAAAGCAGCTTACTTTAAAGATCAATCTCTGAAGTTTGACATTACCATGTGATAATTCTGTCTAAAATTCAACACAAGTAACTCATGGAACGTGGATTTTCAAATGAAATCTGCCTCTAGTTTTTTAAATGTGGTGAGAGTATCAAGGAATGGTTGGCTTAACATAGCATTGATAAACACAAAATATCCTCCCTTCAAATAATGTTAGGGAAGAATTCTTAAATGATTGAAAGCTCTTCTAAGAGGAATCACTATGGTATCCAGGATACCAGCGCAATCAAAGTGTAATTTACTCTAACGATTTTGATAATTGTGGCCACCAATGATCCGATAGTTGAAACATGTGAATTGAGCAAACTTTTCGCTAAGATAGTTATCCAGAATCTCGTCCATACAAATATGGCTTCAAATAACTTCATTTTCCAAGACAGTCAATAGGTGCGTTGGATATAACAATAAGTAGCACTGTTGGAAAATTTTTCTAAAATGTTCGCATTTCGGAAAATGAGCTTATATTTCTGTCAATATATGCGCCATTATTTACGTTTTAGTCCTCTTAAATTCACCCAAATATGGTTTCCATACGAGCTCTCTAGTATACGAAACATATATTAAACTGATTCCACTCATACTAGTCCAGAATCAACCTTCTTCCTCATAATAATTGTTAATCTGTTCGCATAAGTGAAGTTCTATTGACTGGTGTCGCAAAAAATATTTATGAAGGTAGATCATATTATATACATATGACTTTGTACTTGATTTCATGCAAATCTTGAATTCTTGTGTTCAATTCAGGGTTAATAAGTTTTTGCACTTCTATATTCCAAAGTGTATTTGCCTGCAACAAAATCCTTTCTTTGAGTTACACCAATAAATGGAAAGTTTGTCGTTTGAAGAAGCAAAGTATGTTTTTTATATACACAATCCGAAACTCACTATTTTATAAATTCAAATTCTTATCGGGAATTACGGGAACATTAAATCAACATTTATACTTGTTTGTAATGTAGAACTAGGTGGAACGCCATTTTCAAAGACCCCTTACTTTCTTTGACTTCGCTGAGGGAGAAAGGTGTCAATGGGAGTATCTGTTCAGAAAGTTTAAGATCTATATGTTGGAAGGTGTGTAGTAGAATTTGATAGTGTTTTAATCAATGTTGCGAATTGGCATAGTTGTGAATGGTATCAAGCGCGGCTTTTATCTTGAAGATGTGCGAAATAATAATACTATGATTTCACAAATATAAAAAGAAAATCATCAATGACACAAATCCTGGATTATCCAACAGGCTTCTTATGTAATCTTTTACCCCCAATAATAATCAACTAATCATACACACATTATCATTCATAATGGCACGAAAGATTGACGCCTCTCAAGTGTGTAGTTTTTCGTGGCTATAGCGCGCATAGGTAGATGGTTCTTTTGTAAACTCAGTGGGGGATCTATTATCATGATTATTATTTCTATTATTATATCATAAAAACTTTGACTTTAATTTCAAATTCCGGATCAAACTTTCCGTGATTATCAACAATATATTTTTATTTATGTCTACGTATGCTTCGCCTCACCTCATCACCTCTTATCATTTTCTCAACACAGCTATATCTCTCATACCTACCAAGCTTAGATACCTCGACATGGGCGCTGACACTTCACAAAGAACGTCAACATTACGCTGATCTGCGACAAAAGTATATAACTAGTCCAGCTTCGGATTCTGAAAATGATAGTACAAACGATTTAGCGGTGAACAATCCATTATCGTTGGATCAGGCTGTATGCATTTTGGTTCTTTTTTATTGGAGCTCTCAAGTTATTTTGTTGTGTATTAATGGATGTCGTCATAATTTCCAGAATCCGTGGCAAGAGTATTTTAAGGATACAGAACTACGAAAGATCATCCGTCAAGATGTGGAACGCACGTAAGTATTTCCTTTTTTTTACTATTTCATCCTCTGCATGCTATATTGAAAATCTTATTTTATCATTTTTTCTAATTCAAGGTTTCCGGACAAAGAGTATTTCCGGTCATACACATGTCAAACTCGTTTACTAGATATCTTATTTATTTACTGTAAAATGAATCAAGATGTTTCCTATCGCCAAGGCATGCATGAGCTATTGGCACCGATTTTATGGGTGGTGGATTACGAGAGTTTACCCAGCGGCCGAGGATACGCCATGGACAGCAGCGAAGATACGATAATAAAACAGGCTCTAAATGCAGATTTCGTTGAGCACGACACATTTGCTCTATTTTCCTTACTAATGAAGTCTGCCAAAGTCTATTATGAATATAACGACGAGGTGTTTAATAGAAGACCTATAAAGGTATGGTGATCGTCAGCATGATTATGAGGTCAATAATCGGATGCAAATATATTGGTTAATGTCATATCGACTATATTGATCGATAAATTATAGCGTCCGCAAAGTTCAGATATTGAAAATGCTAGAATAATAGCCACCGCTCAAGCAGAGGTATGCTTTTTGAATGCGACATTAGCAACTATTAATCAATGCTTTATTAATTTTATTTATTAAAAGGCCGCGAAACTTACGCCGGTGGTCATGAAATGTAATAAAATCCACGAGGAATATCTACGAAAAGCGGATCCGGAATTATATAATCATCTCAAAGGGTTGGAGATTGAACCTCAATTATATGGAATGTAAGGTCTAGAAACTTATAATATTATTCAAAATTGGTCGTTTTAACGAAAAGTAAATTTAATTGAATTGAATTATTTGCAGACGGTGGATACGATTGTTATTTGGCCGTGAATTTCCCCTCGATCAAGTACTGCTATTATGGGATGGAATGTTTTCCGAGGATCCCACGCTACGAATCGTTGATTTTGTATGCGTGGCCATGATGTTACTTATTCGAGACGAGCGTCAGCATATTTACTTTTACTTTGCTCATTTTATTATTTGATTCTTCTACATATAAATTGTTGACTAGAATATTTTCTGCACTGTTATACAGTTCTCGAAAGTGATTACGCAGGATGTCTCAGTATGTTGATGCGATACCCACCTGTCTCGGATGTAGACTTTTTAGTAAAACAAGCAATATTTCTTCGGGATCATATGACAACCGACGGTGGTGCTCAAATAATTCTGCAAAATGCAATTCGAGCGGGTAAATCTATCTCAGCACATATTACTACCACTGCTGGTGATCGTGATTCAAATCGAAATTCCACCTCGAGTGGTTCGTTGGACGTTCTGGTTCCGGATGGATTTGTACATGTTACCAAAAATGTGCTAGAAAGCCGAAGTGCTGTCGCACTTAACAAGGCGATTCTCTCTGCTGTTGGGGAAGTAAAGGTTAGTAAAGATAAACGAAAACTAAATTTTAAATCGAATTGGCTGTTTATCGACTTAATCGATTTTACACGATCGTTAAATAATTTACAGAAAAATGTGCTTAGACGTCCAGAACATTTATCTCATGAAAGTCGTAAACGTGCCTCAGATTTTCCATCCAGATTTGGGAATTCTATTCCAAACAATCACCAACAGCAGCAACAGCAACGAGAATCTGCTACTGTCGATACATCATCATCTGCTGCTGAACTTGCCCGATTACGCGAACAAAACCGACAGATGGCCGGTGTTGTATCAAAAAGTATTGAATTACTTGAGCAAGAACTTTTTGTTCGACAAAAAAATCGAGAGATACAAAATCTAGCAGAGCAAGAAAAAATTGAAAAAAGCTCAGATAGGTCTCGTTCATCATCATTTGACGATGTTATTAGCAGCAATGAAGAAAATTCGGCACTCACTGCAAATGAGATCTCTATTCTTCACGCGTTGACAGGCCTCAAGCATGTTCGAGATGTATTGGATGGCACTACACGAGATTTTAATCCAGGCGTATTTTATGGTTCTAATCACAGTGCAGGCAGTACAGGTGAAGAACATGATCACTGGGAAGTTGTTGATGATGAAGTCAGCGTGGTAAGCGTATTAAGTACCACTGGGGAAGATGACGAAACAAGTTCTACTACTGCAAAAGATGTAATCCAATCAAAACATGAAAAAATTTTGTCTGTTACAAATTCTCAAAGGTCAACATTATCAAATAATGATGTATTTTCAATATCCAAATCTGTTCCAAGAACTCCATCGCCTCCAGTTACATCTCACACATCAAGTCATAATGACACAAAACACGTGTCAAAGAAAAGTTCTTCCGATTCTATAGTAAATAATTCCGCGTTCACCACCAATACCAATGTTCGGACGCGTGTTTCTGCTAACTCCACATCTTCAACAACAAAAGGTACACGGCCTCAATCGATTGTCTCTTCCAAACCTAAATTGAATTTAGATGATGTTCTCAAGGACGTGGCAAATAGTGAACCTCAGGGCAAACTTAGTCTACCAAAAGCTACCATCTCTTCCAATTCCAAATATAGTTGGATGGTAGAAGGATCGGAAAATGACGAAAATTCATTATTTAGTCCAAAACGTGGAAATCCGACTGGATCAATAAACAGAAGCTCCGAAGATGATATCTTTAGTCAGCCTCCATCTTCACCAAAACAACGACGCGTAAGCAATGTTCGGAGTTCAATGTCAACTAATACCACCTCTTTGGCCACTAATAGAATTAGTCTTGATTTGAATGATCCAGTGGATCCACTTAGCGCTACAATTAAAAATAGTGCTACTAGCAGAGATAGAAGTGGAAGTGTAGGCTCAACATCATCGTTTGACAGTACACGATTGAAAAGCGGTGTCACCGCCACCTCTATTGTGCCAACATCTAAACACACAGAAGACCCGTTGGGCGTTTTGTGATATTTATTGTTAATATTCTTCTCTGAATTAGTCACATATAAATTTTTAAAGTTGCATTTATTTTATAAAATAATGCTGTTTTAACGATTTTTGGTTAAATACAATTCGTTATCATGAATTGTAAAACTTTTAGGGTTACAAAATTAGCAATTTCGTAGTGCCGCGATTAATCCGGCAAAATACATTCTTAGCACTTCCTTCCCTCAACAATTAACAATAGATGTAACCAGTCCTCCTATGAATAATAATACCGACAATAACCAATAAAAAATGAGAAGGAAAATTTTTTTATTGCATATTTTTACATAAAGGAATACATATACGAGATAATATATATATATTTCTACACATAATCATCATCATCATCATCATCGTATCCATAGTCGTCCGGGCCCGACTCCACAATGAAATTATAATCTTTTTTCTTTTCCTTTCTATATTTTTCTTTTATTAATTCGTCTTCAAATTCATATTCGTAATCATCATCATCATCCTCCTCCTCTTCTCCATCATCACGATATTCATCGCTATCGTCATCATCATGAGGATCTTCGAAAGCACTTTCATTTATGGGTGGTGTAAAGGGAAATTCTTTACTCTCAACTAGAGATGTTGAATTAATTTGTTCTATCTGTTGTGTCGATGCTTGTTGTTGACTTACATTATGATTGTTAGAGTGTATAATTTGTGATGATGAGAATGCCGTTATGTTTTGAGAGCGAATTATAAGACGACCAGATCCTGGTTGGTTGTTTATACGACTTGGTCCAATTCCTATTTTATCATTCATTGGATCATTGAATTGAGGAACTATTGAAGTGATCTTATTATCTTGCTCATAACTACCACCGAATAAAGAAGTGTTATTATTATTATTATTATTATTATTATTATTATTATTATTATTATTATTATTATTATTATTATTATTATTATTA